AGCAGAGGCAGCAGCAAAGAAGAGCCAGACGGGATACGCAAGTGGATGTGTATACACCAGAAGAAGAAAAAGAGAAACATGAAAAAGAGCAAGAACAACGGCACAAGAATAACAGCAACAACAGCAAGCACAAACAGCAGCAGCAGCAGCAGCAGCAGGAGCAGGAGCAGCAGCAACAGACCTTAAGTATAGACTCCTCGACTGTGCCTCTGCAGCAAAGACGATAGACAGTAACCTCGTGGGTCTGCCCCAGGCGGTGAACCCGATCCTCTGCCTGGCGGTCATTCTGAGGATTCCAATCCTGAGAAACACCACCACAAGAAACACAGAACAAACAAAACAATATAAACAAACAACCCAATAACAATCCCACAATAACAAACACAACAAACAAAACAATAACAACCCCACCGCAACAGAATACTGACCAGAACACACACGCCGCAGCAAGAGCACCCCTCCTCCAGCGGGAGGAGTCATGAGCCCCCACTGCTGCCGCGGCATCGGGTTCTGCATATGCTGCTACAGCATAACCTGGATCTGCATCAGCAGCAGCAGCAGTTCATGCGTGTCTCACTTGGTCTAGGAGTATTACGGTGCGTGCTGCAGTGAGGTTAAGTCCCTGTCCTCCTGCCTTAGTGGAGAGGAGGAAAGCTGTGCATTCTCCTGTTTGATTGAAGCCATCTACTAGTCGTTGCCTCTCCTCTACAACTGTAGAGCCATCGAGGCGACAGAAACGAAGAGAAGGAAGATGCAGCTGTAGCGCTTCCTCAACAACGTCAAGGAAAGAGGTAAACTGACTAAACACCAACACCTTCTCACCCCGACTCTGAACCTCCTTCAGCAGTTCAAATGCCTTTCTGTTGCGTCAAGGTGTACATGCACAAGAAATACACACAACAAACAACAGATAGATACACAGTATACAACGACAACCCCATTTCTATAAACAACGATAGGAGCTGATAAGAAGGGGAAGAAGAAACACGCAGACACGAACGACCCCAACAACAACCACCAACAGCCACCCCGCCAATAAGAACCTCCCCCTCCATAACAACCCCACCAATAACCACTCACCGGAGCTTGGTGCTCTCAAGGAAAGCCTCTGCTGGCAGAGC